AAAATTGGAGAGGGAAATGAAGACAAAAGATGTCTCCAATAAAGGAATGTTTCTTTAGATGGGGAAACATTTTTAAGTTGCCCACATGAAAATCATAAGTAAAATGAATTGTCTTCCTTGTTTGTCACTTTTGGCACTAAGCTTTATTAACTCAGAGATTACAAAAGCATGAGGTTCAGAAACGTGCCTGCCACATACCGACTTTTTTTTTTCCTTTATCGGGACTTGAACTCAAGTCCTGCACCTTGAGCTACTCCACCAGCCCTTTTTGTGTTAGGTATTTTCGAGATAGGGTCTCGCAAACTGTTTGCCCAGACTGGCTTCAAACTGCGATCCTCCTGATCTCTGCCTGCTGAGTGGCTAGAATTACAGGTGTGCGCCAGTGGCGCCCGCCTCACAAATTGATATCTTTGATGTCCAAATTATGTAATTAGGATAGAAGGCAGGAAGAAATTCTATTTTAGATAGATAACGGACATGAAAAATACCAGTTTCCCCACCCCAAACCTGTCGCATTTCTTCTTCCTCTGCCTATGGCTATACAAAACTCACCTTGACCTGCTTAGACTTGGCCAAGAATGGTATTCTTTCCACCCACCAATCCCTTCCTCTCCTAAACTACTAAGGCCTCCACTCCTCTGGGGAGCATTTCCAGGCCTTTCAGCTGAGCAAGCTGCCCTTTCAAATCACCAGTATACCCTTTAGCCTCTGCTGTGTTTTAGAAGGTGCTAAATGTTTACTGAGCACCTGCCCTATACTTGATCCCTTTACTATAAAGTCTTATGATGATTCACTGATTCCCCTACTGGTGCAGTGAGCTCTTGGGGGCCAGGTTTGAGGAATGCTGATACTCAGGTATCCTAGAACTTTGTGCCCCTCCCTGGCGCCCCACATGATTACAGGTACCCCTACTTAAGAGACCAGAGCAAATTCCTACCTTAGCATGAGCACATAGCATATAGTACAGGGTCTGACCTATAGCAGACACTTAAAAGCAAAACAACAAAAATATACTGAATGATATTAGTTACCAATCTGAACAATAGTCTTTTTGGGTTTTTGTTTGTTTTTATTTTGTTGGAGATGGGGCTCAAACCCAGGGTCTTGGGCATGCTAGGCAAGTGCTCAACCACTGGTTTTACCTCCAGCCTCTCATCCTCTTTTTCTTTCTTTTTGTTTGTTGGTGGGTCTGGGGTTTGAACTCAGGATTTTGTGCTTAACAAAGCAAGCTCTCTATCACTTTAGCCACACCTCCAGTTCATTTCACTCTGGTTGTTTTGGAGATGAGGTCTCACAAACTATTTGCCTGGGCTGGCCTCAAAAATCAATCCTCCCAATCTCAGCCTCTCAGGTAGCTAGGATTACAGATGTTAGATACTGGCATATAGCTCAGCCCCTGTTTATAAAATAAGCTTATTTTTAAATAACTTGAGATTTACATAAAAGTTGATGGGATGTAGTTTAGTGGTAGAGCAGGTACTGAGCAAGAGGCCGTGGTTCCATATCCAGCATCAAAAACAAAACAAAAGGTGCAAACACTGGCAGTCCCACTGTACCTCACAGTTTTCCCACCTGTTAAACCATCCTGCATTGTGGTACATTAAGTCAAAAAACTGATCTGGGTTCATCCTTTTAAATTCCAGGCATCAAGTACAATGGAAATTGTACCAAAGTTGCTAAAATTGTCTCATCATGTTGACAGCAGTGTTTTCTGTAATGTCTGTCCTCTGATTTCTGCCTGTCATTCACTAAATTTCACAGCTCCTATGTCAAGGGACAAGGCTGGAGAGGGCAGGGAAGCATGCGGTTTTAATGTGTTTTTCTGTGTGGAAGGCTGACAAATGCACTGAAATCAGTTTAGAATATGAAGAAGCAGAAAACTTCCTATTTACTTACTTACTTTATTTGTTTATTTATTTATTGGTGCTGGAGCTCCAACCCAGGGCCTTTCCTACTAGGTAAGTGCTTTACCACTGAACTACACCTCGTGCAGTCCTACTGCTTTAAAACCATTCTCTGACACTCTTCATTGGAAAAATCATTGGCTACTTAAATAAAAATGTCTTTTTTTTTCTTTTCAAAAACAGCAGGAGGGCAAAATAGATCCTCCCTGGGAAGGGTGGTACCGTGGGAGGGGGGGATATGGTGGAAATACTGTGTACTCATGCATGTAAATGGAAAAATGAGACCTGTTGAAACTATTCCAGAAGGGGGGAATAAAGGAGAATGGTGGAAGAGGTGCATTAAACTATGATATATTAAACTTGTGTAAATATCATAATACAGCACCAGTACAATAATATGATAATAATATATATAATAAAAAATCCAACTGTGCTAAATTATGTGTAAGAAATATACAAGAAAAAAATCATTGGCTAAAAAAAATTTTTAAGTAGTTAGATCTGATAACCAGTGAAGCCTAAATGGTGGGATTTGGAGGGAGGAGAGGATGCTGTGATTAAGTCCAGAGCCTTAAGCATATTCTCTACCACTGAGTTACATCCCCAGCTTGGAGTTGTAATTTTACCGGAAGATTTGAGCAGAGGTTGGAGAAAGTTCTGAATAGCTGAGACATGGAAAACTAAGGATTTTGGGGAGAGCAATTTGAGATGATTTTGGGAAAGACATCAAGGGGATGAAATCAGTTCAGCCAGTCAAGTGACATTCCTCCTATGATAGAAATGCTGGGGTCCTGCTGAAAACCATCAGTAGATAATAAAATGGAAATCCTGGAGCTAACCCACTGTTGTCCATGTGCTAGGAAGGTGTTAAGAGATCCTCCTACTGGTAGGATTCCTGGTGGGATTTATGAGCTTGCTGGCCCTCTGCTATCCTGTAATATCAGTGACAGTATGCCGTGGTCATGAGGCCCTTGCCTGGCATTTAAACTGTGACCAAGGATTACTTCCCACCCTTAACACCTCATGTGATTTTCTGGACTATGTTGTGAGCCCCACTTTACAGATAAGGTAAAAAATTGACTCAAGGTCCCAAAGCCAACAACTGTGTGGCACATTTTTAATTGAATCCTGAGAAGCCTGTCAAAGCAAATCAACCTTTTCTCCAGCTCTGTTTCAATGGTGGCATCATCTCTCTTACAAATCTCACCTGCTTGCTCTCTCATGGTGCTACCTGTCTTCTGTGGCATATACCCCCTTGAACACTGAACTCCCTTTCTGGTTTCTCTTTAGGTCACTAGCTTTTCTCTTTCCTTGTCCCAAAGCATGACAACTTTAGTCACAGCAGCATGTGACTAAATAAAATAATTTAAAATTCTCAGCCTCTTTTTCTCTTCTTTAATTTGACTTTCTAGGGCAGCTTTATGTGCAGTTCCTACATCTCCCCTCTTCTTATTTGTAAGGACACTAGGTACCTCTGCTAGAGTGTGTCCTAGGGCATAGCTGTGGAAATATTAATAGTAGTGATAGAAGTTAGAAAAAATGTATTACAGGTTCTTAAAGGCTAAGTGCAGACACATCAGTAATCTTCAGGAAGATGGAGGATTCAGGACTTGAGTTTCCCAGGTGGAGAGTTGTAGGACACAGTGGGCCTTGAGGTGTCTTGCCCACTGGGCAATGAAGGTATCAGACAGAGTCCCTCAAGTTCCCAAGAGAGTGGAGGCTGGTAGGCATCCCCAGTGGGCCAAGAGAGCCTCATCTCAGAGCAGCTGAGATGCTCTTTTTCCTCCAGTGAGCCTTCTAGTCTGCCAAGGCTGCAGTGACTGAAGTACGGAGGAAGACTTGTCATCCCATGATTTAAGTAGGGAGAAAATAGATCTATGTGTAAAGGGAAGCTGTTGCTATCAGAGGCAAATTGTACCCATGCTGTAGCCCATCCAGGCCTTTCCATTCCTGTGAGCACATGGACTGTGAGTTTGAATAGTCAGTTCATATACTTGGCATGAAAATGTAAAAATACAAAAAAAAAAGCAAACAATGAAAGGAAGCCACCTTCTCTGCCCTTCCTTGCTCTTGCCTGAAGCCCCACATTGGAAATTTTCTCATACATGTTTATTAGGACAGGTCTCTTGGTGAAACTTAGGGGTGGTTTATAATTTTTTGATTATTACAGGCAAAATTGTGACCACTTTTATCCATTTATTTTGCACATATGCAAGCCAGTCTGGAGGTAAACTGGATGGCCCCTCCTGTCCAGGGATGAGTGTCCAGGAATGCTGTGGGGACTTCCAAGTAGCTATATCATAGTGTTTTCAGTAGTGGCCTTATCAACTTTGTGGGTTTTTTTCTTAAGAGATGGGTCTCTGTTTATGTTGCCCAAGCCAGCTTCCAACTCCTAAAGTGATTCTCCTATTTCAGCTTCCCAAATAGCTGAGACTACAGACATGTACCCCCATACCTGGCTCAATGTTTTTTGTTGTTGCTTTGAGACAGTCTTGCTGTGTAGCCCAAGCTTGTCTCAAACTCGCTACATAGCCCAGGCTGATCTCAAACTTGTGATCCTCCTACTTCTGCCTCCCAAGTCCTAGAACTATAGTGGTACACCACTGCCCCGACTTCAGTTTTTGTTTAACCCTTGCCAGCCTGCTAGCTGTGAGACACATATATTCTGCCTTCTGTTTGTATTGAGAAGTGAAGTTGCATGTCTGTTTGTGTATCTGTAGACACAGTTGTCCAGGCTGTGGACTTCCTAGTTTTGAGTCCAGCTCCGCAGCTTACTAGCTGTACAGCCTTGAGCAGGTTGCTTAACCTTACCTATCTGCACAGTAGGTCTAAGAACACATCTGTCTAACACATATGAATAAAATAAAATAAAAAAAAGAACACATCTCTCTCTCTCCCTCCCTCTCCCTCCCTCTCTCTCCTTCTCTCTCCCTCTCTCTCCCTCTCTCTCCCTCTTTCTCTTCCTCTCTCTCCTTCTGTCTGTCTCTCTCTCTCTCTCTCTGTTTTCAGTACTTGGGTTTGAAGTCAGGGCCTATACCTTCAGCCTCTCCACCAGCCCTTTTATGTGATGGGTTTTTTCAAGATAGGGTCTCACGAACTATTTGCTTCAAACCACAGTCCTCCTGATCTCTGCCTCCTGAGTAGCTAGGATTACAGGTATGAGCCACTAACGCCTGGCCAGAACACACCTCCCTTAGGATTGGTGCTAACACGTGGTTTTCACACAGTACACTGCTTAGCAAGTTTGGCTACTGGGCTATTTGTGAGCTGCATAGTTTCTGTTCCTTAAGCTGGTGGCTCAGTCTGTTGGTTCTCGCTCTGAGATAGTGGTAGCCTTTCCTCTTTTTAATCCTTAGGATTGTGCCTTTGTCAGTGAGTGATCAGAGAGGAGACAGAACAGTAGGGAGGCCTCTTCCATGGAGAGAATGTGGTTGCTGCTGGAGGAAGGAATGAGAGGGGATGGGAATTAGATCACTTACCTGTGGGGTCCTGTCTCCCCTCCCCTGGGAAATGGGCCTGCTGTCCTCAGTGCATGCTGCCTACTTAGGGTTTTGCTTTCTTTATGAGCTCTGGCTTAACACGGCAAGGCTACCTGAGCATCTGCTGTTATCTTTTTGAGCAACATTTTCATTCCTGTGCTCCCTGGAATTTTGTTCACCAGGCACACCGGCAACTTCATAGTCAAGTCGCGCAGAAACCTCAGTTCAGTCTGACTGCAGCCTGTGACATTAATGTGCTCATTCTTTGTGTGCCTGGTGGCCTCCTTTTGCCTCAAGACAACCTGGAAGGCTCTGCAGGTGATGTTATGGGGGACCATCTGCCAGATGGTGGTGGTGCCGGAGCAAAAGCAGAACATCACAGGAACAGAGAGGAATGGGTCTGCAGCTAACAAGGCCACTTGCGGTGAGCACTGCTGGGGAGGTCAAGAAGGAGGTGGTCTCAGGCAGTCGGTACCTCATCTTATTGGGTGTCGAAAGCAGCTGGGGCTTGGGATTATTCCCCAGTGTTTCTGTCCTTAGAAGTGTGGTAATTGCACCATGTGGACATGGGCCTGATTCACATTCTCTTAAAATAATTTTATGTGCTTATTTCAGGAGAGAAACTTCTGGAATTCAGAAAATTGTTTTTGCTCAAAAAACTACCTCACAGCAGTATTGGTTAGGGAGATGGTAGCTGCCTTCCAAATGCAGGGACTGCAATGTCCTATAGTAGACATATGAGTTACCCAGCATTTGCCTTTCAGTTACTTTAAGGTGCTTCCTAATTTGTCAGCAGGTTCTGTAAAAGCCCACTTATACACTGGTTGCTTGAAACTTGGCCATGATTCCCCAGTGCAATAGTCAGTGTCTGATTTCAAAGGTATGTTCAAACGACTCGATAGACATAGCATAACGTCATGCCATGCTTTGCAGGGACTTCATCTGCAGACCCAGGAATCCTGTTGAAGGCTGGTGATGAGGGTGGCAGGCCAAGGTCACCTGACAGTTGTATGAGGCACTTGTGCAGTGAGTGAGTCACAACTCTGCCTGTTTTTCTTTTACTTTTTTTTTTTTTTTTGACATTCCTGGGGTTTGAACTCAGGGCTTTGTGCTTTCTAGGCACACTCTCTACCAGTTGAGCCATGCCTCCAGCCCTTTTTTCTTTGGTTATTTTGAAGATAAGATCTTGCTTTTTTGCCCAGGCTAGTCCAGATTGAATCCTCCTATTTAATGCTTCCCAGTGTAGGTTAGATGGCAGGCGCACACCACCACACCTAGCTTGTTCTGGTTGAGATGGGGTTTTGCAAACTTTTTTATGCCTGAGCTGGCCTTTGAATCATGATCCTCCTAATCTCAGCCTTCCAAGTAGCTAGTATTGTAGGAATGAGCCACTGGTGCCTGAGTACTGATCTGCCTGCCTTTGAAAGGCTGACAGTGAGCAGTGAGAATAGACCAGGCTTAGTAGAGGCCACTATAAGAAGGGGGCTTTCAGAACATCCAAGTACAGGTAGGCTCTTCAGGTAAGGAGACCTTGGGATAGGGCCCATACAGTGAAGGTCTCCAAATAAGGCAAATGGGAGCTACTGTCTGAGAAACAAGGCTCCTTTGGTTGAAAATTGGAGGCCTTTGTAATAGTGGTGACCTTTAGTGGTTACTATGCATGGCCCTGTAGTGAACAAGTTCACTTAATTAGTATTCCTCCCTCTAAACCAAGCAGTCAGTAGTATCATCCATTCCTAGGAGGAATCAGAGAAACTAGCAGGCAGAGGGCCAGAGCTGCGATTTAAGTGTGTTGTTGCACCTGCCCCACATTTGGAAGGCTCAGCCAGTACTATTTGCAAATGTGCTGTGAAGACCCAGGAATGGAAAAGAGACAAGTGATGAGGACCTGGCAGGGCTGTTGTCCCCAGGGTGATGTCTGTGCTGGGAGCAAATAGAGAACAAATACAGAATGAAGGAGACTTACACATGAGGTGCCCCTGAGCAACACTGAAGGGGCTGGTGGTTGACCTCCACTTAATGACAGCAGTGCACCACTTCCTGCCCCAGACACATGAGGTTAGAGGGTCCCCCCCAGGGACTTGACCAGCTTCTCTTAGTGCTTACCTCTCTCAGGCCATGTGGGACAAATAACAGAAAGCACCTGGGATTTGGAGGCAGCCACCTGCCTATGGGGCCATGGCAGCCACCTTGGCATTTGGGACCTCACAGTCACACCTGGGCAGAGACCAGTGGACAGAGATGTCTGTTTCTCACGTCACTGTGGTAGATAATCAATGGTTAGAGAATTTGCAGAGTCTTAAGGTGTGAATACATCTGTGCAAAAAACCTTATCACTCTAGGGAGTATTAGACTCACAGCCTAGACCTTGTATCCAAGTAGATGAGAGTCCTTCCTGGAGCCTTCTGGGGTAGGTTTAAGACTATAACAGGCCCTCTCTTGACAGCCTTGGTGGAGTCCCCAGCTTGTGTCTGTACTGCTCTTTGAGGACTGTGGTCCTGTTCGGGGGTTGTGTGGATCTGGGAGGGAGGTGCCTGCAGCTGCCCACCCTGCCCCACTCCTGGTTGCACAGACCAGGACTTGGCAGTAAGTCCCACCCGACTGTCCATGTTTTGTGTATTTGTTCCTTTGTTTGGAGGCAGGGTCTCGTGCTGTTGCCCAGGCTGGCAACTGAACTCTTGATTCTCTCACTTTAGCTGAGTGCTAAGATTACAAGTGTGTGCCACCAGTCCAACCTGGGTATACTAAAGTCACTAAGGACATTTTAAGTTTTGGCGTTTGAAGTGTAGGCCTTGTGCTTACTAGGCAGGCATTCTACCACTTGAGCCACACCACTGCCCTTTCTACTTTAGTTAATTTTCTAATACGGTTTGGCTTTTATGCCTGGGCTGGCCTGGACTGTCATCCTCCTATTTATGCTTCCCATGTATCTGAGATAATAGGCATGGACTACTATGCCCAGCTTTTTAATTATTTGAGATGGGGTCTCACTAACTGTTTCCCTGGGCTGGCCTTGGACCTTGATCCTCCTGATCACTGCCTCCCAAATAGCTAGAATTATAGATGTGAGCCACCATGTCTAGCTAAGTTTTATTTTTTAATGAAAGATTTCATAATCACACAATACTGCATTATTTAAGCAGAGTATGATGAGATTTGGGGCATAGATGGGTGAATACTCTTGAGAGTAAAGAGGAACCTCCAAAAGCCAGGTGTGGTGGTAGATGTCTGTAATCTCAGGACTCGGGAGGCTGTAAGGAAGATTATGAGTTCAAGGCCAGCCTAGGCTACATAACATGACCCTGACTCAAAACACCACAAACAGGGCTAAAATAGGAGGATCGAGGTCTGAGGCCACTCCAGGCAAAGTTAGCTTGAGGCCCTATCTGAAAAATGAACTGGTGTTTTGGCTTAAGTGGTGAAGCATTTGCCTAGGAAGCACTTGAGTTTAATCCCTAGCATCACCAAAAAAAAGAAAAGAAACACCAAAAAACTGGGGATGGGAATGTAGCTCAGTGTAGAGTGCCTGCCTAATTTGTACAAGGACCTGGGCTCAGTCTCCAGCACTGGAAAAAAAAAAAAAAAAAAGGAAGGAAGGAAGTGACAGAAGGGAAAGAAAAGAAAAACAAAACAAAATAAGTGACCAAAAAAAGAAACAGAAAAAACAAAACTAGGAAGAGCACTCACCTAGCATGTATGAAGCCCTGGGTTCAATCCCTAGCACTACAAATAAAAACAGTACTACAGAGTGTGAGGTCTGAGATGGAAGACCCAATTTTCACTTGATAAAATACCCTTTTGTCATCTTTTAAAAGTTAATGTAAGGACATGTGAATAAATGAATTTAAAAAAAAAAGTTAATGTAATGATTGGGAGTAAAGCTCAGTAGTAGAGTACCAGCCTAGCAAGTCCTGGGTTCAATCCCCAGCACTGCAAAAAGAAAAGAAAAAAAAAAGAGGATCCAGCTTTTTCCTGCACAGTTGTCCTACATTTCTTGGCAACATCTCTCTTTCCCATTGAGCAGCAATGCCCTTCTATAATATCTGGGGTCCACTGATCTATGGATCTGTTTCTAGACACTCTTTCATGCTACAAGGACTTCCTTCTGTCCCGTGCCAGTTCCACACCATCTTGATAATGATCGCCATGTAAAGTGGCAGGTGTGTGCTCTCCAGGACAGTAGGTGCTCCCATCTTGCTCTGCTTGACCATGTTACCCTTACAATACTTCTAGGATGAGTTTTAGAATCAAGTCTCTCTGTCTCCCTCTCTTCCACACACCCCTTGCTGGTTCTTGATTTTCATTTCATTTCATTTAAAAATTAATTTGTGGGTAATCCACATTTTTTTTGGTAGTACTGGAGTTTTGAACTCAGGGCTTCATGCTTGCTAGGCAGGCACTCTGCCACTTTATTTAGTCGCTCTGCCAGCCCTTTTTTGTGTGTGTTGAGTATTTTTAAGATAGGTTCACATGAACTGTTTGCCCAGGGCTGGCTTTGAACCGAGATCGTCCTGGGTAGCTAGGATTATAGACATGAGCCACCTCGCACCCTGATAATAATCCACAGTTTGACAATATCTTCCAGACTTGATCATGGTACAACTCTTCATTTATTTGGGTCTTCCTTAGTGTCCCTCAGAGTTTTATAAGATGTTCTTTAAAGGTCTTTGGACTTATTCTTAGGCACTGCAGATTATTATTTGGTAATATTATGTAGGATTTTATATCTGGCACCTAAAATCAGGAGACGAAAGTTATAGCAGACATCATTTTTGGAATATTCTGAATGAGGCTTGTTATCAAGGTTTAGCTAACAACATTGAGTGAGTTGGAGAGGGCTTCCTGTGAGAGTTTGTGTCAGTTTAGAATTATTCCTTCCTTGAAGTTTAGCCAAACTTAACATGCTTTCTGGGCCTGTAATTTGCTTTGTCTGTGTGTGTATATGTTAGGGAAGGAAACTTTTTAACCAATAATTCAATTTATTACTTTTGTAGTTTTTTTCAAAGTATTTGTATTAGCATAACTTTAGTTGTGCGGTGGGATCCACTGTGACATTTCTGAATGTGCTTACATTGTACATTGGTTAGGATGACCCCTACCATTTCTCTCCCTCATCCCACTCCCTTCACTTCAAACAATTACAAAAGGCTTCATTGTTTTATTTCATATATGTATAAAAAAACGCATCAGCCATATTCACCTTCCTTTATTCTCTCCATGAACCCTTCCCCCTCCCACAAATACCTACCTCCTCACAGGATCTATTTTACAGTCCTGTCCTTTATTTTTCATTCCAAAGTCAGTGTTCAAAGAAGTTTCTCAATGTTTCTCAGCTGTGAATATACTGTATTTTGGTCAGTTCAACCCTCTGTTACTCTCCCTTACTTCTTCCCTCCTATCCCCTATTATTCATTAGCTTTCAGTATGTACCATTATGTAATTCACCTGCACAGATGTCAGATGTAATGTATTTCCACATTGTTGACTCTATCATTCTCTTTTCCTCCTCTCCCCAATTTCTATAGAGTAGTTCTATTACAAACATGTTATATGTATAAATGTGTATAAATCATGTTTGGTTTGTATATATATATATATATATATATATATATATATATATATTTTGGATCTATCTTCCAAATATGAGAAAAGGCATGCAGCCTTTGTCTTTCTGAACCTGGCTTACTTCACTTAAATGACGTTCTCCAATTTTTTTTCCAGATAGTCTCATTATCTCACATGCTGGTCTTGAACTCGCATTGCCCATGCTAGCCTGTAACTCTTGATCCTCCTGCCTCAGCTTCCTGAGTTCTGGGATTACAGGTGTATACCATCACACCCAGCTATTTCTTTTCTTTTTTTTCAGCTGTACTAGAGTTTGAACTGAGGACCTACACCTTGAACCACCAGCGGTTTTTTTTTGATGGGTTTTTTTGAAATAGGGTCTTGAGTGCTATTTGCTCAGACTGGTTTCGAACCGTGATCCTCCTGATCTCTGCCTCTTGAGTAGCTAGGATTACAGGTGTGAGC